GGCCCACAGCCCAGACCAGAACCCCCAAAGAACTGATGTTACTGCTCAAGAAACATCTGCAATAGCAATTTCTTTCTGGCATTAGCAATTGCTTCTTAATGGTTAAACACAGCTCACAAGGTACCAAGTGCTCAAGGCTTTACAGAACTGCTTCATTAAACCAATCAAAACTGGTCAAGTGGCATGTAATAGTAAGTGCTCAATAAACATCATTTAAATAAGTAAAAGAATGAATAGATTCATTTATTAGTATTAAAAGAGACGTACAACTTGAATAAAAGAAGTATGAAACCACATAACATGACGTTCCTAAGTATTTGAGCCTTGCTAATTTCTTTTCTGCTTCTAGAGGCAAGAACCATGAAGGTCTAGATTAGGAATGTTCTCTCTTCTAATGTTATCTCCATTGTAAGTCTGAGCTAGGAATGAGAAGACATGGTAGAATGCTGATGAAGTTGATCATTTTTATGCTCTCTCTTCAACTTACTATCATATGAACTTCTAGTTCTTGGCAGAACCTGGGGCAGCCTTGAGCCATAGGTCTCTGGGGATGAGGCTCAGTCTAAGATTTCCCTGTGATTGTTTCACTCCCCTAATATCTCCCCAATTTAAATCTTATATACCCTCTTATAGCACCTGAATTAAGCATCTTAGTGAAATTCTAGCAAATAATAATCATATCTCTCACTCTGAAAACAGTCCAGGACTGAATAAGATCTCAGACAAAGACACAGTCTTTGCTTCCCCACCCACACCCCACCTCTGCTTATGGAGACAGTTATAGTGGGGGCCTGGGGAAAGCATTAGGGAGGAGAGGCAACATACTATCAGTGCTGACCAAGAGTTCACAACAGGCAACGGAGGATCAGAGCACCTTTAGTTTACCTGTGTTTTTCGAACAATTAATAATGTAACATAAGGATGAAGTGAACTAGGGGGAAAATTTGTAAATATCCATGAGACTGACAAGGCCCATTTTCTCCGAAGGATGTTTGGGGCCATAAAGCAGAGAATAATCATTAAAGCTTTTAAAAATATATATAGGTATTTGGTGTTGAGGTGGGGGAAAATTTTCCCCTTGCCCTCTCTTGAGTTTTTGTGGCTGAACTAATAATAAAATTTACACAAGACAAATTAGCAAGAGAAAAAGAAATACTTTTTAATTCATGTGCACAGAGGTCTCATAGAAATGGGACCTAAAATGTGGTCAAAGCAGGCAGCTTTATACTTTTTAGACAAAGAAATGATACATTTGAGAGGAATTGACAAAGAAGCTTAGGATTGGTGTGCTCAATTCGTGAAGAATCTAAACAGAGTTTGGGCTTGAGGTGGTAAATAAAATAAGTAACAAGTTTGTTTATATAGGCTTCTAAGCCCCGAATTCCCTCTCTCTGGCAGTAAGGGTGTCCTTCTACCTCCAGATGCAAGGAGTATACCTCTCATGTGCGAGATTTATTTCCTACTTTCAGGAAGACAGAAATATATATGGAGGGCTTCCCTGGTGGCACAGTGGTTGAGAGTCCGCCTGCCGATGCAGGGGACGCGGGTTCGTGCCCCGGTCCGGGAGGATCCCACATGCCACGGAGCGGCTGGGCCTGTGAGCCATGGCCGCTGGGCCTGCGCATCCGGAGCCTGTGCTCCGCAACGGGAGAGGCCACAAAAGTGAGAGGCCCGCGTACCGCAAAAAAAAAAAAAAAAGAAATATATATGGAAAAGAATATGAAAAAATATGAGGATATATCCTTTTTCATGTTCTTTTCCACTATGGTTTATCACAGGATATTGAATATAGTTCCCTGTGCTATACGGCAGGACCTTGTTGTTTATCCATTCTATATATAATAGTTTGCAACTGCTAATCCCAAACTCCCAATCCATCCATCCCTGATTCTTAAGTAACTTTAATTCAAAATAATCAATATGTCATTGTGGCACATTTAGGGGCAGCCCACCCTGATCCCCAACACTGGTATGAACCTCCTTAACACTGTCTCTTTTTTTAAAATCATTTCAGAGAGTTAGGAAATGACCAGATTCTCAGGGAATGGCCTTGGCACTTGGCTTTGTGTAAAGAAGCCTGGTGAGTGGAGAAGAGATTTTTCCTGCAACCATAGGCCAGGAAAAGTCCCTACAGGAAGCTCCTTGGTGTTGTTCCTGGACACTTCCCTACCTTTAAGGAAAGACAGGAGGTCTGTTAGAAGTTATAACCTTGAGACCACAGTCTTACAGAACATTCATTAACAACATCTTGTCTCACAGTGTTTAACACACAGCTATGCATCAGGCTAAAGAGCAAGTTACTTCCTCCTTTATTTGGTCTGAGGCCAAGTGACCCGGAGTTAAGAATTGAGAGAGACTGAACATGAATAGAAAGTCGAGGCTTTATAAGCTTCAGATACATCTTCTGAGGGATTTTCTGAGTCTCTGAGTGACTTTTATCTCTATTTTCACTTTTTCACTTTACCTCCAATTCACTTTTACCTCCATTTTCATCCTCACTCCCAGCTTGCAAGGGCTGTGGACAGAGCATAAACCTGGAAGTTTGAGCTGTTGTTAACCAGCTGTGTGACTGGGGCAAGTTCTTGCCAGTCTCTGAGATTCCATTTCTTCTTTGTAACAAGGGGCATTTGGACTAGGTGGTCTCTAAGCTCCCTTTGAGCCCATTTTGTCCTTCATTACGTGGGAACCCAGTTCTATGAGGTGACTCTCCAGCACAAAGGCTCAGAACACATTCCCAAAAAAGCTCCGGTGTGAATTTCTCCTTCATCCTCTACACACTGGTTTCTCCCTTCATTGTGCTCTCCCATGTATCTAAATTTCAGGTTCATACCAGACTTAGGTCTACCATTTATTTCCACCTTTTTTCTTCCTGATATTCATACATCTGTTCCATAGGGAATGTGGAACACACAGTGAGGTCTTGAGTATTTTGTGGACCCCCAAAATATGGCATTTATAAAGGTGCTTTTTTATTTCAACATACATAAAGTCTATCTGTGCCAGGGAGGAAGTATGGAGGTTATACAAATGATTAGAATAGAAATAATTCACCCCAGCTCCACCCTTGGGGCTTCCTCTGTTACCTCCAATATCTTACCAGATTGGTCTAGGCCAGTCCATAGAGCAAATATCTTTCCCATGATTGCTGTTCCAAATTGTCTGCTACAAAATGTCACAAACTCCTAATAATTAGGATTGGTTTTTGAAAATCAAGTTGGTAGCTCCCTACTAGTGGCCAATGGAAGACAAATTTCCTTGGCTACCTCAAGAGTGGAAACTCGGACAAAAGATACACCTTGTATTTTGGGAAATTGAGTACTTGAAGAAAAGCTCTGCTATTTCTCTCTTCTCATTAAATGGGAAATGGGACAACAAGAGAATCTCCTTGAAGTCACAGATGGGAGCTTTATGCTGAGAATGGCAGAGGTACTCGCCAGCCTGGGTGCCCAGAGAAACTCAGAGAGTATTATTGTCTCCCTGCCTTAAGTTGTCTACCCAGCCCTGGACAGTTAGTTACCAAGCCCAAGTCCCTATCGGGTGCCTTATCAGAAACTGACACTGGTCATCAGACCTTTACCTAACAGTTTTATCTAGACTAAGCAGAACACAATGCAAAAAAAAATTTTTTTAAACTGTTTTTTGGCAATTCTTGGCTACCCTAACAGAAATAAACTGACTCTATCATTTCTAGAAATCTGGTCACAAAGGCAAAGATATCTTTTATCTCTGGTCAGATAGCACATGCCAGTGTTTCTTGGCAAAGCAAGACATGTTAACTTGACTTAGAAGATTTGTTAATTTCCACTGCCTTGTCCTAGCCTCAGCACCCAGCTAACTTCATGACACTCTTACAAGTGATATCTTGCCTCTGCAGCGTCACCGCATGGGATCAGCTGGATTCTAGAGACGGCAAGAACTGGGTTTGAAACTCAGGTTATACCTGTTCTTCAGTATAGAAGGCCAGAGTGAAGTGGAAGGATGAGGGAGAGAGGACCAGGGCATACACCTTCACCTTCTGTGATGCTCAAACATGAAATGCTGTTTTTTACCTCAGGTTTTAAGTTGGGAGTATCTAAGAAGAAATTTCTGAAGATTAACCTCTGACAGCTTAGGAACTTACTGGAAACTTTTTTCATGAAGTCAAGCTTCAGACTTCTGCTCATTAATAAATAATTTCAGAAGTTGTAGTTAAAGTGCTTACATTTATAACACTATTTCAAAGATTTAAGTCTACCCTGCAAAAGGAACTATGATTTTGCTTGGCTTCTTCCAGCCTCCATCCTCTTTCACTCCTGCACTGGAGATGTGAAAACCATTGAATTGTTCAGCATGCTCTCCTTTCCAAACTGGAGTTTTCTCACCTAAGCATCTTGGGACTATGGACAACCCACCTCTGTGTTCTAGTAGCTGGTGATTTTTTGCCTTCCCACATTTGTACTCCTCATTTCCAGGAATGGTCAGTTAGGACAGTTCTATCCACTTGGAGAGTGTTTTTTTTTTTTTTTTTGGCCTTCTGAAGAGTCCTCAGTCTGTGATGAGATATTAGTAAGCAGCAAAAACAGATTACAAGAAAGCCTTCAACGTCCACAGGAAAGGACATGCATGTGTCTCCACACTTATCTGTTAAAATTTTGCATAGATTACTCATACACCCTTAACAACAACAGAGGTTTTTCTGAGGTGGTTTCCAAACACTTTGTTCATTAGCTTTCTAGAAACTTGCTGGATTTTGTGTTTTACCGGAGTTGTATAACCCAATATATTCTCAGGGCATATGTAGACGTGTGCATGGGTGTATAACATAGGTATGAGTGACCCAGGCAGGTAAATCTTTCCCTTATATTCTTAAGTGTATGCCAAGTCATTTTCTATCTTCTCTAAAGCAGGTCAGAGAGAACAATGACTAGCTCAAATGGAAGTCTCCAATTTTAGCACCCAATTCAATTTAGTCTATTCTTCTTGATCCCATACTTAAAGGTATTATTGATACAGCATTAAAATTAGTACATATTTACAAAATGAAAGAAAAGGCCTTCAACGACCTCCTCACTAAGAGGAGAGGGGCTTTTGCCCCTGGCTCTGCACAGAGCATCTTTGACCTCCTTGTTCCTCAGGCTGTACACGATGGGGTTCAGCAGAGGAGTGACGACAGTATAGGTCACTGAGATGAGTCTGTCCTGCCCCAGGAAACTCTGGGACTTAGGCTTCAGGTAAATGATGGAGGCACAGCCATAGTAGATGATGACCACTGTGAGGTGGGAGGCACAGGTGTCAAAGGCCTTCTTCTGACCCTCAGCTGAAGCAGTCTTGAGGATGGTGGAGATGATGAGGACATAGGAGATGAAGACCAGGCCCATGGGTAGAACAAGGACAAAAACACTGACAACGAAGTTGATGATCTCATTGACAGTGGTGTCTGTGCAGGCCAGCTTCAGCAGGGGTCTCATGTCACAGAAGAAGTGAGAGATGACAAAGGCATCACAGAAGGGCAGGCCAAAAACAGATGTTACCTGTACAATGGCCATACCCAGGCCAATTCCCAGGGACCCAGATGCCAACTGGATACAGGACTCTTTACCCATGATGACTGAATACTGTAGTGGGTTGCAGATGGCCACATAGCAATCATACCCCCTGGCTGTGAGCAGGAAGCAGTTATTGATACTAAAGGTGAGACAGAAGAAGAGCTGAGTGGCACAGCCTTGGATAGAAATGGACTATAGATGAGGACTCAGGAGGCTAGAAAGCATACAGGGAATGATGGCCACAGTGTAGCAGGTCTCAGAGATGGACAGCATGCTCAGGAAAAAGTACATGGGAGTATAGAGGTGATGGTCCAGGTGAATAACAATCACAATAATGACATTGCCAAAGAGAGTCAGCAGGTACAAAGTTAGAAAGACAACAAAGAAACCAAGCCTGTGCTACCACCCAAAGCTGGGGAAACCTTCAAAAAGGAACTCAGTCACAGCAGTGGAGTTTGGCTTTAGCACTGAGGGAGGTCTAGGTCTAAAAGAGCTGGGCAAAGGAAAGAAATGTGTGATGATAATCATGAAAGACAGTAGGCTGGACCAAGGCTTTCAGTAAAAGGTATGTCCATCCTCTGAACAATGCCCAAGGCCTCAAGGGTCATCAGTGTTCAGCTGTTGGTCACTTGCTCAGAGCCATCACCTTCCCCCCACCCTCTTCTTTATTGCTATGGAAGTGTTACCCCAGGACCCTGGGGTTGATGGCAGAGATAGATCTGAGAAGGAAAATACAGACACATCAAAAGATAGATTTGTAGAAATAATTACCTAGCCATTGAAGAGGTGAGTCCAGGTCCAGGAAGAAGCCCAGCTCTATAGTTCCTCCTCCAACACTCTTGATTTAGCCCTCTAAGCATCCAGTGAGGAACAGTGACCTAAGTGAAAGACAAAAGATACCTGAGGCTGATAACCTTTCAACACTGTCAAAATGCACTGTCAATATCAAATGTCCCATGAAGGTCCTAGAGTGGCTTCTCCTCCCCAGAACCCTAGGTCCCAGGCTTCACTTCCCTAAGCCCTGCGCTAAAGTCTACTGTGATCATGAAAGACTCAAAAAGGGAGCACTTCTAGATATTCTAAGGCCATGCAGGTATTTAGCTTATTTCCTTGAATTCTAGCCAAAGGCAAGAGAGAGGCTGGAATAAGTATGAGGATATCCCTTCAAGTCGCTTCAAGTAGGGAATGGTTTTCCTAGTGTGAGAGCAAAGATAAAGCTCATTTAATCAGTGAGGGGCCAGATGTTCTATTTTTCACTTTAATTTTACATGTTCCAAGTTGTGATGAGGATAGAATTGAGCTTATTCCACGTGAGCTCAGAATTGGAGACTATACTGGAACAGAGTTAACCTTGCCCTTAAACCCATATCTACTCCTGATTACCCACCATGTTTAACCATTACCTCCATTCAGGAAGCTGAGAACCATCCTAACTATCTCCCTTCCCTTTTCCATCCTGAAGACAGTGCCTCCTGAAATTCTGTCCACTCTGTCCCTTCTTCTCCATGCTTTCTACCAACACCCAACTTTCGACCACCATCATCATTCTCTATGATGACTGCAATGGTCTCCTAACTAATCCCCCTCATTTCAGTTGACCTTAGTCCAAGTCTTCCTTCCGAATGTTGTCATAACATTCTTTTTTTTTCCTCTTTTTTCCTTTAACATCTTTATTGGACTATAATTGCTTTACAATGTTGTATTAGTTTCTGCTGTATAACAAAGTGAATCAGCTATGTGCATACGTATATCCCCATATCCCCTCCCTCTTGTGTCTCCCTCCCACCCTCCTTGGTGGTTTCAAAGCACTGAGCTGATCTCCCTGTGCTATGCAGCTGCTTCCCACTAGCTATCTATTTTACATTTGGTAGTGTATATAAGTCAATGTTACTCTCTCACTTCGTCCCAGCTTCCCCTTCCCCTTCCCTGTGTCCTCAAGTCCATTCTCTACATCTGTGTCTTTATTCCTGTTTTGCCCCTAGGTTCATCGGTCAGAAAGAGAAAAACAAATACCGTATGTTAACATAACATTCTTTAAAAAAAAAGTCTGCTAATGGAGACTTCTTGCATAAATTCCTTCAGTAGCCCTTTTCCTTTTTAAGCATAATATTTAAACTCATTTATAAATTGAATATAGTAATACTCCACAGAGTTGCCATAAGTGTTACATGGGTTAATGTCTTTGAAGAGTTTGACATGCACTTGATACATAGGAAGCCCTTAATAAATAGTAGTTTTATTTGTACTTCTTCTTCTTCTTTTTTTTTCTTTTGGTCACAATGCACAGATCTTAGTTCCCCAACCAAGAATTGAACCTGGGCCCCTGGCAGTGAAAGTGCTGAGTCCTAACCATTGGACCACCAGGGAATTCCCTAGTACTTCTTTTTGTTTTCACATATGAACCAGTTTAAATATTTAAGAGACGCAGTAGGAGATAGACAGGCTTCAGCCTAGCATTCTAGGATGTGTAAAGAAGCCTGTGATTATCCTAGCCTTGATTTTATAAATTTTATCATTTCCCTTCCAATTGTTCATATGGACTTTTTCATACACTTTAAAAATCTTTCCTGAGGTACACTGATCAGAACAATGCACTGCTACATGTACTATATCAACACAGGTATGAATCAGGTAGAATAAGACTTTCATTTTTGCTTCTAATCCCCTTCTTGAAGATGCCCAACATTTTACTTCTCCCTTAGATCACAGTAGCCCACCAAGATAATATATCTAAGACTAACCTTCAGTGACTTCTAGATTGCATTTCTGGATTATAAGTAATAGTTTGGAATCCACCACTATAAAATCACAGTTTTCATTATACTTGCACACTTGATTTGAAAGTCATCCAGGTTATTCTTTTTTTTTTTTTAAATGGAGTTAGCATAGTATCCTCAGTCCCTTCTAGTCCTGTGACTGATTTTTTTAAAAATTAATTAATTTATTTTTGGCTGTGTTGGGCCTTTGTTGCTGCATGCAGGCTCTCTCTAGTGTTAAGTGGGGGCCACTCTTCGTTGTGGTGCACGGGCTTGTCATTGCAGTGGCTTCTCTTGTTGTGGAGCATGGGCACTAGGCATGTGGGTTTCAGCAGCTGTGGCACATGGGCTCAGTAGCTGTGGCACACGGGCCCTAGAGTGCAGTCTCAGTAGTTGTGGTGCACGTGCTTAGTTGCTCCGCAGCATGTGGGATCTTCCCGGACCAGGGCTCAAACCCGTGTTCCCTGCAATGGTAGGCGGATCCTCAACCACTGTGCCACCAGGGAAGCCCCCATCCATGTTATTCTTATAACTTAATTCCACTTTCTTGGCCAGAAGATCTTACTCATGCTGGTAGACTACAATATTTCTGTTTCCCTCCTCCTCCAGACCATTAATCAGCACTGTTGACACCCTAAAAAACTGTACCCCAGCACCATAATGTGGGAGACTCTAACAGATAGGACAATCAGTAAAGGGGTGCAGAGTGGAATGGGGAAATGAAAAACATTGGCAGGGGTAGGATTACTCATCTAGGGTGTAGGAAGGAAACATGAGAGACCAAAAAATAGGGAGAGTACAGATGGACAGAAACCTCAAAATTCAGATAATGTCTTTGACTTTGGAATTTTTACTACCTTTTATTTCTTTCAAATAAATGACACCCCCCCCCCAAAAAAGTGAAACAAAGCCTTTCCCTGACTTAATCATGAATGAATATACTATTTATATTTTTTCCTCCAGTGAAGAGAGCTTATTTATCTCATCATTCTCTGGTTTTCTTGTTTGTTTGTTTCCTGTGAATAGTAAAGTTTTGCTTCAAATCCAAACAAAACCATTTTTTCAATAGTTCAATGTGTTGAATAGTCACAAAGTGTAAGTACTGTGCTAATACTAGGACAACAAAGATGACCAAGGAATGGTCCTTGTCCTCATGGAGCTTAGATTTTTGAACAGCCTTTTGTAAAGGACCCAGTTACAGGCCTTTGAAGTCTTATGTCCCTCTTTTCCATGTTAGTTTACAGATCCGCATTTCCAAAATCATAGAATTCACAATATTCTCTAGGAGAGATCATGTTCCTCCTTGTATAGACATCACTGGCTGTGTGATAACTGAATATATACTATAATAAACATTCTGGCATATCAGGAAGTGAAACTCACCAAGTGGCCTATTTCTTGGGTATTCTAGAGAGCTGTATTCATTCCTGAGGGTCATACCCCCCACTCTGGGAATTTGACTGCCTGCAAATTAGATATGGATTTTTACGAATAGTTATAGAATGTTTCCCAGATCATTATCAGTGCCTTTCCTGATAATTATTTAAAACCTATCAGTTATTTAAATTTAGACCACATTGTAAAAATTTGCTATTTTAGCAAATAGTCTACTTTTTTTTTTTTTTTAATCTGAAGGTCGCTCATGTCTTACTGAGCAGAGCTATGGTTTAATAGGAACTTCCCCTTCACTGGCGAATCTTTAGATACCTCTTGGATGCAATATATAAAAGAACTGGACAGGAAGGAAACAATGCCTATCCCAGTCTTCCAGTGTCTGAGATTAGAAGTGAAGGACAAAGTCACATTAATTTCCTCTAGATTCTCACAGCCCCTCCTCCTGGAAGAAGCTCCTCATTGAGTCACAAAGCAGTAACTCCGGCTTGAGGTTTCTTTATGAGGTGCAAATTGTCTGTTCCAGACTCCTGGGTCTCCTTCCCAAAACAGCACTGACTGCTCCCAAGTGATCAATATCAGAAGACACAATCCAAACAGCAGAATACTTGGAGACCTTATTACTCAGTCAGCTCACTTCCTAATCCTGAGATTAATGTTTTGGAGGGAAGAGTTGCCCTGACCATTACCAGGGCTCCTTCCACCCTGCTACCCTTCCTATTCTTATAAAGTTGAAGGAAAGAACTAGTTCTCCTCCATCCCTAGAATGATGTTATAAAGACTGTAAGATGTAGATACAGCTTCTAAGTAAGAGAAGAGTTGAGGGGCAAAGATTCCAGAAAGAAAGAAAGAAAAGATATGTGGAAATGTTAGCCTGACACCCAATTCTTTGTAGTTTCCTTGAGGAACTGTAACTTGTTGTCTGTATTCTTTGGTCAAAAGACTGAAAAAATGGCAGTCTCCATATGCTTAAGGGCTATACCCTAGGCAAAGGGGTAAAGTGGAAATAAGTTAACCCTCGCAAAGACTGAATCCAGCTCAATTTTACTTAATACCTATTTGTGTTAATTTGCTCTTGCTTCTCTAGAGGAAGGTAATATAATGTACAACCTCAATTTATTTTTACAATTTACAATTTTTTTTTCATTTATAACAGAGGTAGGCAAACTACAGCCTACTGGCCCATGAGCCTACCAGTGGTTTTTGCATAGCCTGCAAGCTGTATAATGGTTTTTACATCTATAAATGATATAGAGTGTCCAGGATGTGATAAAAATACAATAAACATACTGGGAGAAAAGACCAAAAGGCTAAAGATCAAGAAGAAAAAAAAAAAAAAGCACTCAACAGAAACAGATCCATAAAAAAAAATCACTGTAT